ATGGTGGGTTTATACAATCATTATCATTAGTTCACTAACATTAAGTAATTAGTTCACTATAATTAAACTAATAATTAATACCCACATTGGTTTATACAATCATTAATGTCACTAAGAAATACCCAATAGGAAGGCAAACCGTGCGCATGGTTTTTGTAGGTACAGTGTGAAACGTGTTTTACCATATTTACGTGTGATTATTCAACCTCACTTTTTTTATAATAATATTATTTGGAATTTCGATAGTTTTTGGATTGTGTTGTGTTATGATGGACGACGACGAAGTGTTTGCAGCTTTTTTATTGCTGACTACAGCCGCGATGCTCTATTTAAAACGTAAAAAAAGAGTACGCAGGTACAAAGTGCGACCTATTAATCGCAACAGAATAGTACATGGACAATTTCATAAACGTGTAAGACGTATGCGAGAAATGGACCATGAACAATACTTTAAATATACAAGAATGACACCGGCAGTATTTGATAATTTGTTAAGCATTGTTGGACCACATCTGCAGAGACACAAGAAAAAATCACATATTTCTCCAGCTGAGCGACTAACCTTAACATTACAGTAAGGACTAATTTTGTTACAAAATTTAACATTTAATTAATTATTTTATAGTTATCTGGCCGAAGGATGCTCTATGCAAGAGATTGCAACAAATTTTTACATGGGGAAAACGACTGTTCATATCATAATTAAGCAAACATGCTCAGTTTTATGGGATGTGTTGTCACCCATACATTTAAAACCGCCAACTGGAACTGAATTTGTAAAGATTTCCAAAGGTTTTTATCAAAGGTGGAACATGCCTAATTGCCTTGGTGCTTTAGATGGCAAGCACATTCAAATTCAAGCTCCTGCACATAGTGGCAGTGATTTTTTTAATTATAAAAAAACTAGCAGGTGAATATTAAAGTATTATTATTACTGCATTTCATTATACTTTTCCAGTATTGTTTTAATGGCAGCATGTGATGCTTTTTACCGTTTTACGTTGGTTGATGTTGGTGGTTATGGCTCACAACATGATAGCATTGTATTCTCAGAATCTGCATTTGGTCAAGCCATTTTAAAAAATCAAAACGATGTTCTTGATTTACCCGATGCTAAACAACTACCTGGAACTTCAGTTTCATTACCTTTTTTTTTTGTGGCAGATCAGGCTTTTCCACTGCATAAACGTATTATGCGACCCTATCCAGGGGAACGACTAGGGGAAAATAAAGAAATATTTAACTACAGGTTAAGTTTCTAATAATAATTTTACATATATATAACATATAATTATAGGTTGTCCCGTGCTCGACGAACGATTGAAAATACATTCGGTATCCTGTCAGCACGTTGGAGAATCTTTCGGCGACCGATTGTCGCTAATGTGACAACCTGTGAGGCTATTGTTAAGGCATGTGTTGTTCTTCACAATTTCCTCCAAGTTAAAGAAGAGGACATACCAATGGGTAGCAGAAAGTATTGTCCTACTGGATTTGGAGACGAGGTAGATATAAATGGGGGCCTGCGTCCGGGACAATGGCGCAATGAATCAAACATGTTACGTCCAGTTGGTCGGCTTGGTTCTAATTTTTCAACCCGGATTGTACGGCAAAATCGAGAATTATTAACCGCCTACTTTGCCAGTGCACAAGGAAAAGTAAGCTGGCAATATGACCATATTGCAGAAGGCTCTCTGCCAAGTTAAAATTGAACAAATTATACTAACATTTTATATGCATGCATTGTATTTTTTCTTAATATTGTTCCATATAAATATATATAGAAATAAACCTATGGTACTAAAATACTTATATATACATCGATATTTACATTTTGTTTCATTTTGAAAATAATATATTCATGATTTCAAGCTGTTTAGCTTGTCGCGTTTCTGCATCAAGTTCTTTTAGATAAAGACCGACAGTTCGGCCAAAGGACAACTCTTTATCAATCATTTCGTCGGCCTTTTCTTGTTTGGCCGCTAAATATGTATTAAATTTATTTAAGGATGCTTCTAGGGCACCCCTAATGGGACTTTTTTTTTTTGATGTTTTGTTGCCGGATGTGTCTAATTTTCTTTTTTTTCGTGCAACAGGTTCTTGGTTTTCTTTGTCTAAAATTTAAAATCATTAACAAAACTGACTTAGGCCCAGTTTCTCAATCGCCAGTTATCGGCGGATAAAATTTATCCTCTGGGTAAGCTATCCCAATAACATTGTCGTCATGGCAACTATCTGTCAGATAACCTTATCCGGAGTTTGAGAAACTGGGCCTTAGTAATTTTGTATACCTTCCGATTGTTGGATATCATGATGTGTTTCTTCATCAAGATCCTCTTGGGAGTCGTCAATGTTCGACTCTGTGTAGAACTCCTCTACCTCCACTTCAGACCCTTCCAAAATTGTGTTAATTGTGTCCCACGGATTTGAGGGGCCAGCTTTAGTTTGCTCTTGGGCATTTCTATGTCCGGTTGCAGAGCATGAAGGGCCAGGTTTTTCTTGGCCTGCTGCATTTTTCATTTGCACGTTAGAGGTAGTTCTGTAATTACAGACAAGGATAGTAGATCAAATAATATTATGACACCAACTTACTGTCTACTTTTAATAAAACGTAGCAAAAATTCAAGCTTTTTGTACAAAGGAGATGGCTCCACAACATCTCCTCCTGCTCCAGATGCAGTTGCAACCTGCAGCTTACGTTTCTCTGTAACAAATCGGTTTCGGAGAACCGTAAACCGAGACTCGCAATCTACTGCTACAATTCAAACATATATATATTTATTTCCTACTGAATAACATTATCATACGGGTTCGTTCGAGCATTTGTGCCACTGTCGTCCAAGCATTTTGTTTGGCCCTTTTGTTTTTGAAATTGGGGCTGCTTTTGTCATAAATTTGACGAAATTGTTGCACCACATCAATCAATCTCATATCGTCTTCGTCAATCATCTACAAAATGCTTTTTGTAACTAGAAATAATATAAAATAGCGTTGGGTACTTACACTAATTGAATAAAAACAACTCGAAATAAAATACAGCTGAGTGCTACTACAGAACTAAAATAATTGTCATAACAATCAGCTGATTGTGTGTTGACAGTTACGCATGCGCACTGTTCTCTTTCACTAAGAATTTAACAAGTTTAGTTAAAAGTTAACCATCTTCTTAGTGATAATGTTAATGTTAGTTAATGAAGTAATGCTGTATAAACGCGCCCATTCATTACCATATATTTAAGTTTCTTAGTTTAGTGAGCTAATGTTAGTGAACTAATGATAATGATTGTATAAACCCACCATAAAGTACGGGAAAGAATTGAGGTTACAAGTTTGTTTTTACACTTGTACCAATACTTGCGTTTTGCCAACCACAAGTAAATAAACTGTACTACAGCGAACTAAAAATTCATGACAATGACCTTCAGAAATAGAACAAAACCTATTTCTTCAATTTATGATGTAAAATTGAATGTAAAAATTCACGGTGACAATACACGATGTAATTAGCATTTTTCATCAAAATTCATGAATAATTCATGTAATTTATGATGGTGTACTACGGCTTTAAGGCAACCAGAAGCGACATCGATAGCCCGAGCTAGTGCATTCAATAAGCCACAAATATCATCGTTTTTTTCACTTTTAGAGGACACTATCGCAAAGTATGAAATTCCGCCCGAAAGAATGTTTAACATGGATGAATCGGCGCTGTCAACAGTCCAAAGGCCATCGAAAGTATTTGCTACGAAAGGGCGAAAACAGGTAGGAGCCATAACAAGTGCTGAGCGTGGCGTACACACAACGGTAGTTTGTTGCATGAATCCGCGATCGGACACTTTATCCCACCAGCTCTCATTTTTTCAAGAAAGAATGCTAAATCGGAACTGACAGACGACGCTCCCACTGGCACACTTCAGTTATGTCAAGAGTCTGGATGGATGACGGGTCCCTTATTCCATAAATGGTTGCTTCATTTTATAAAATATACAGACGCATCGATTGAAAAAAAAGTTCTGCTTATACTCGATGGCCATTCGAGCCATAAATATTTGGACGCTCTGGAAACAGCCAAAGCAAATGGCGTTATTATACTTTGCACTCCACCACACTGTACCCATCGCATTCAGCCTCTCGACGTAGCATTTTTTGGCCCATTATCAACATACTATAACCAATCTATATCTGGTTGGCTAAAAAATAATCCGGGAAGAACTGTATCCGTTTACCAGGTTGGCAAGCTATTTGGAGAAGCTTATGAAAAAGCTGCTGTGATGAAAAACGCAGTCAGTGGCTTTAAAAATACTGGCATTTATCCACTAAACCCACACATATTCCCGGACTGGATGTATGCCCCTGCCGAGGTTACCGATATTGAAGGGCTAGAAATCGAACCTGCACCCTCCGGAATGCAAGCATCTCAAACGATGCCCTATGAAGAAATTTCGCAACCTGAACCCTGTGAAAATTATTCACTTGATTCTGGAATGAATCAGTCGTCGACGTCTGCTGTGCAGGTTCGACTTGAGAGAACGCCTTCACCACAACATGATAAAGGTGCTCCAGAAGAAGGTACTAAGAAGAATGGATCACGTGACAGAAAACACATTTCATTGGAGATGATTAAGGGACTTCCAAAAGCACAAAATGCAGAGAACAAAAGAAAGCGTAGAAGCCAGGGACCATTAGTTTTGAATTCTACTCCAAACTTGGCAGAGTTGAAAGACAAAGCTGAAACAAAGAAAACGCTGGAAGCACGAAGATCCATGAGAAGACAGAAAGCAACAATTAACCTAAATGAGAGACATCCCGAATATGACAAAAAAGTGAAGAGGATCCATTTACAGATCAGGATGATAACGAAGATGAAGCATCTTGCATATATTGTAACGAACTTTATTCGATGTCTAAGGCAAAAGAGACCTGGGTTCAGTGCCAAGCTTGCCAAAAGTGGAGTCACACAGAATGCGCTGGCGTTACCCCCAGGGTGAAAACATTTGTTTGCGAACTGTGTACATAAATAATAATAGTTAAGGTGTATGCCATATTATCTGATTGTTTGGATAAAATGGCATACTTGTACTTGTAGTGAGAGGTCACATATTTAAGTTTTCTTTTTTGGAATAATGAAATATTTTTGTTTCCTTTCAACAGATAAATAGATAAGCTATGCTCTATATTTGTCCCAGTTTTGTATTGGCATTTTTGACGAATATATTTACCGTTTAACAAAAAGTGTGCCATTTTATCCACATTTCCTCTATGACTTTCTCGCCCTGCACTAATACAATTCTGCACCCTAAAAAATAAAAATACATAAATAAACAGTAAATAAATCTAGTTTTTTCAATATACTTTTCTATCAATTCTTGTTTGTTACCAGATTTCTTCATTCCGCGACATTCTAACCATCTCTGCAGCTCCAATACAGAATGATCTGCAACATTAAAATGCTGTAACACAGCACCTGGTAGGGGAGAATGGGGGAATAGCGGTCACCTAAGCCTTAATTAGAATTGATCATTTATCGAAGATCCTTGGTTTATAAGATGGTTAATATGGCTACTATACATTGACAAATTCTGATAACAGCAATATTTAATACCATGAAGAAAATTTAGACAAATTGATGACACGTCATTGACCGGAATCACCCCACTCTGCGGGTAATTACGGTCAGCATTATCCCAATGCTTTTTAAATGGACATATCTTATTTCGAACATATTTTATTAAATAATCGTAAATAATAACAGTAAGTACGTTAAATACCCAGATAACAAAATCACATTCCTGTAATGATTAAAAAATATTCCTTGCGAATATTCAAATATTCTTGGAATATTATAACAATATTTAGATTATTCTGAGAATATTCCCTGAATCTGAAATGTCCCTTTTTTAAATATTCTAAGGAGAATTTCTGGAATATTCCTTGAATGAATAATTGAATATTTTTGGAACATACATAACCGCAACACGAATATTCTCTACATATTTCAAGTATAATCTTGCAGCACGAATTCTATATATATTCGCGAAAATTTGTGCTATTGTAAAATCACTAAAGCAAATGAACTCACCGGTGGTATAGTACAGAATTGATAGAATATTACTACTGCTGGTCCTTTACAATATCACAGATTTTTGCAAATTGTCTATATCATGTATTTCAGAGTGCTTATTGTAGGTTGCTACAATAAAACGCATTTGTTTTATCAATCTTCACATATATTACTACCACAGACAATATATATGTTCTCTAGTTACTACATATGCAATGTAGGTACAAATTAGATTAACATGGACTTATTTCTACGCACAGAGCACTTGGTGAGCCAGACAGCTACTTGTAATTCGACTTCTTTCGAAGTGGCGTTATTATTATTTAACTTTACACTTTCTGGAATACAGTAAATAATTAAACTTAATGAGAATAAATAATTTAACTTACCAATAATAGTTCTATTCAATAATTTATATTTTGAGAAATCCTTCTTCTGTTTATGACCATGGTAACTAAATGCTATTCCAACTCCGTCTGTAATCACCAAGGGCATAATTTTTCTGACGCATTCATTGACGGTTTTGCCTCCCTCTGTGGACCATGTTTGAATCTAAATTAAACGTTTATTGATAAACATGTGAAAATGATGTTAAATTGTTAAATGTTTACCAGATATTCTTGAAACTCATGTTCAGTCAAAAGCTCTTCAATTTGGTTTACTTGGTCAACCTCTGTAATAGGAAATAATTTTGTTTTTCTTTCCTTCCACTGGGCACACGTTTGTATAGCCTGAACATTATCGCTGCTCTTTTCAAGAAGTGCGTTAACTTTACTTGTTAACTCGGCAATGGCTTCTTGCTGTTGCTTTATCAATTTATTATTGCTTACTATGTATTTCACCAGTGTATTTAACTGACTGTTTTTCACTAAAACTACAATAAGATAAATGATATGTTCTAAAATGGGTAACAATTTACTCATACCTCCACTATCACAGTCGTCATAATTAGTCGCGGCTTGAGTTATGGTTTGGGAATCATCGTTTCGCCTACTAGTAGGGGTATTGGAACATGTTGTTGTACTAGGACCTATTAAAATGGTTTTGGTTACATTACTATAGGTAAGCATGGAATTAGCAAAAATGCATACTTACTTCGAGATGGTGTGGCACTTCTATGTACTTGAACATTCGACAGTATTTTAATCGGACGGTGTTTATTAAATGAATCTGAAAGAATTAAATTATAAAATTTAAAGATTGTATAAATAAAGTAGGTACCTTCGTTTATAAGCATTTCGGGGAACTCTGGTATGTTTTCCTTTTCTGTGGCATCTGACGTACTACCTTCTGAAGAATCATCATCATCAAGAAATTTATTTCTGATTCTTTTTCGCTTTTTTGGGATTTCCTTACTTGCCTCCTGATCTATATCCGAAGTAACCAACGCCTTGGTTGCCTGCGCCGAGGCCACAGAAAATGTAGTGTATAGAGTTTTTGATAAGATTTTGATTTTGTGACGTTGCCAGCTCTCAAAATTGGGCGAAAAACATGTTTTTATTGCCTTTTCCAAGTCTTTTTTCTCAAAAGGAGGCCATACACATTCCATACTATTGTTTATAATCCAGGAATTTGGAACTACTTCAACAACGTCATTGCTTTCAGTAAATTTTGCAACGCTCCACGTCTTGGAACACATAGTCGCGTTTCGCTACAAAGTAGGTAAAATATAAATTTGAGATCATTAGAATTATGCATAATATACAGCGTGCTCATTTCAAAAATTCCCACCGCCAATATTTTTATAGAAATGCAGACTCATGTAGATAATTATAAAAATAATTTGATATCAATAGTATTTTTAGAAAGAGAATGAAGATACCTACCATTCAAGCGATATATCACAAGCCCCTATTTCCCATTTAAAAAGTGGGGGTTTTTGTAACTGTCACTCGAAGGGGGTATAACGTAGGATCACATTTTTTATTAAAAAGTTGTCCTCCTCTATCACATTGTCCACGTGGTTCGGGATTTCTTTAGAAAATGAACAGATATAGATATATTGGGCGTGGGAAGTTTTGAAATGAACATCTTGTATGTGAACCGTAATTGAGACTTGACTTCAAATAGAATAGCATAAAAAAATATAAAGTTTCAATCGATTTTTTCTGTATGACGCAAAGGGAGAACTACAAAACCGTCCGAGTAAGGTAATTTAATAAGTTTTGAAACAATTTGGGTTACAGGCCAAAAAGACAACTTATCGCAGCCTTTCACAAAATAAATGCCAATTAAGGAGGATTGACACGGTTCTGTGTAAAAATCTGTTACTTCGCTAAAAGATTCTCCCACAACAACATATTCATCTAAATGTGGACAAAATGCAAAGTTTTTAGCACATATAAAAAGACCGCTTTTTAATAGGCAACAAGAATCACCTTCATTAGCAGAAATTTTAAAGTTATGAAATGATACTGATTTATACTGTGGTGACACACAACCATTAACTAAAACCCCAAGGTTGTGTGGATGCATCATTTTAAAATCACTTTTAGTAATGTCTAAATTAACAGTGATTGGAGAAAGAGAATGTAATTCTGTGATACGATTTATTAATTGGGGTAAAACATCTCCAGGTTTTCTAAGCATTTTTTTAAATTTCTGCAAATAATTCTCACTAGAAAAGTTACTAAAATTATCTAAACAACCATGATGCCGAACATCTTCCACTAAGTGTAATAGATTATGGACATTGTGGCTCAAATAGTGATCCCCATACAGAATTTTAGTTGACTCCACGAAATGCCTTAACAATTTTTCTGCATAATCAGCATAAGGATAACAATTTTTATCACAAATTAAAATAGAAATGGCTACATGTAAAGTAAGAAAGTGATTGTACTTCTTGGTTGACAAGACATTTTTAAAAACAAGTGGACCGGTATATAACAAAATTTGTCTAAATTCGGTAGCTTTCCAACGCTTTGACGCACTTAAACTCCTTGGTTTTCTAGCAAGTTCGAATGGAAGAAATCGCTTTAGTAGTTCTAATTTTGATGATACTAACTTGAACTGAGAAGCAGAAAATTTATGTGGTGGATGGCCAAACGCCCATGTATTTACTACAAACTTCTTTACTACCCCAAGGCAAATCAAATGCATATAATCTAATGGTACGTCTACAATGAAGTTGATTCCTGGAATTTCTTGAAGAACGCTTCTACCTGTATGGTGTTCAGAATTTGCCATACTTAAAAAAGATTCATTTGTTCTTTTGACAACCACAGTATTGGGAAAACAAATTCTATCGCGGATATAACAACCTTCTTGAATACATTTTGTGCAAGAGTAGTATCCACTGTGCCCTTTGATGTACAATACACTGGATTTGGCTACAGCATCAAATAAAAACATAACAATTTTAAATTGAAATACCTGGTCCGAGGGGTAAACCGCCGATAAAAATCGTGTACACCTACTTCCACTTTTGGAAAAACTTCCATCAACTTCCATTAAACTTCCACATACTTCCACAAACTTCCATCTACTTTCACCAATTTCCATCTACTTCTACCAACTTCCATCTACTTCCACCAAACTTCCATCTACTTCCATCAAACTTCCATCTACTTCCACCTACTTCCACCAAATTTTTCTGATTTTTTTCAATAATTTTTCAGTATTTAGCAATTTGTTTGTGTTTGTATTCGTAATTCAGTAATAATGATACGCAACTGAAAATATAAAATGATTCCTCTCAAAGAATTAAGAGTTTATTACTATAAATTTGTACAAAAAACAAAATATTGCAAAATAATAACAATAGTATAGGTAATATACGACGTAAAATATAATATAATACTAATGAACTTAACAAAATCCTGAAATATTCTTATATAACAAAAACTTACCTCATATTAAATAACATCAAAACATGAAAAGAGTTTTATATAAAACACATTCTCTACTAATCTACCTTTTACTTATACTTTCTCTTGATATTTTTAAAATTATTAGTAATTTGGTCTCTTACTGTTTCAGGTAAACTAAAAGGCCCAGAGCCTAGTAAAGTTATGGGACCTTGATAAATGTATTTATTTTCAACTTGTTGTATATCATCATGTTTGGGCCAAAGAAATTGATGCAAATTTTCTTTTAAAAATTTTACTCTACTATTCGAGTTGTCTATGATTTCGATAACTCGACCGATGTACCATGAATCATCATAAAATACCGCGTAGTAATTTTCAACCTTAATGTCTATCTTTTTCTCACAAGAATGTGCGATGTCAACGCATGGGAGCTCTTCCGAAGAACTGCAGTCCTCGTTGTCATCGTCAACAGAGTCGTCAACTTCCCACAATTCCAAATCTTGATTACTGTCACTACTGCTCGAGCTGTAGTCCACAAATGTTGTGTTACGATCGATAGCAAAATTGTCACATTCCACAATAGCACTGGCACTGGAACTGCTTTCATTTCCAGAACAGTCGATTTTTTTTTGTAGATCACTTAACACTTTGTCTTCAAGCACTAGATCCATGGTATCGGTCTCTTCGTTCGGTATCACAGACGGATTTGGTAACGAAAATCTATAATAGGTAATATCGTAAAATTCATGTCGAAATGACGATGAATGTGTTAATTTTCCATTATTTTGAACGTTGTACCAGGTACAGAAACATTTTATTCCGACGGCATTCGATTGGACCCACGTTAACTTTGTTTTCGAAGTTCGCTTTGAGACATCTTTGAAAAAAAGAATTCTACCGAAGATATAATTATCAAGGTTTGACTTATGGTTATTGTCGAGGTTAGTGTTTTTGCTTCTAGTATTTTTGACACCGCTATTGTAGAACAAGCACCAGTCGCCAATTCGTAAACGTTCAGATTTTTCAACTCTGACAACGGAATCTATCATACTATTCTTCTGCGTTATCACAGACTGACTATCACAAAAAAATCTTCTTAATCGATCGGAACTTACTCTTTGTTTTTCTGTGCTTAACATCCAGCATAAAGAACTTTTTCTGACAACAGATATTTTATCTTTGATTAATACGCGTACAAATGGTCCCTTGCTATAAAAGTCACTTCCACTTCTTATTGACATTTTGCTTCTTTTGCCTTTATCACTATAATCCCTTAACAATAATGATTCCCCAGCATTTCTTAACAGTGAAATGTCAAATACATCTACCTCGAAATCGAGCTCGAAATCTACAGGTGTACCATTTTCATTAATTACACTTTTTTCATCAAGTCCATCAAGATCCACGTTCTCTTCATTTATTTCTTGATCGAGTATCATTTGCTCATCGTCGATATATATTTCATCTTCATCTTTCTCACTTTCTTCATCAGATCCTACATTTACACCCTTCGTGATACACATATTTTCTACTGTAGATTTTTTAACTTTCGAAATCCGCGTCTGGATTTTGTTTCGGACTGTTCTTTTTTTGTTACTCGAATGACATACTTTATTCCAGATTCCTTTCCTAACTTTTATTCCCAGTTTTTTTGTATCTAAAATTGCTTCTTCCAAAGCAGAATTCACAATGACTTCTATTTTATTTTTAAAATCTTTTTCAGAAGTAACTGCTGCTACGGGGGTTCCTTCTGGACTTGAAGATTACCATCGGTTCCGCCCGGCAAGGCAAACCGTCTTCTTCTTAGGCTGCTCAAACGATAAAAATAAATGCTCCGGCTAACTCAAATCGGTGGGCTTTTAACTCTTTTGAAACTGTGTAACAAACCTTAACCTGCCGCCTACCAGTCTCCTGCCTCAACTCCTACTTCTCCCTTTCCTTCCCCTCGTTCTTTGTTAAAGACAGGCACTGTGAAACCAAATAGATAATATATTGAAATGAAATTAGCGATACAAACAATTTACAGGGATCTAGCAGTTCTTCTCTTCTCCTTATAAAAACACTAGCTTAACAATGACGACTAAAAAATCCTAACAGGTGAAACTAATTTACTCAAGGGGTGGCCATCCTCTGCAGTTTGAAAAAATGCAACAACAGGTAATCAGTTTTTAATCCAGCGTGGGCTGGGACTTATTTAAATAAACACAAAAATTTATCCTACTCTTTGGTAATCGTTCATTGGACTTTAATAAACAATCAAATCAAAAATTTTTTTACTATAGCTTAATTACCAAAAAGTGGAATTTTACAGAATGTTACAAATTTAATTAGACTAACCTTTACAACATTTGTACAGCCGATCTTGTGAACTGCTCTTTCCTCTGGTACAGGGTGGATGTGATGAAACCTGACACTTAGGTCTCTGCGACTTTGTTAGGGGTGGCTTGAATTTAACACACGGAAACAAAAATCCACGGTGCCTATCCTTCCTCGGAACGAAAGCA